GCTTTGCACATATCCATAAGCTCTTCAGTACTACTACCTCGCACAACGATCTTCACTTGCCCATGACGAGTCCAAGATTCGATAGCTTCGCGTCCAGCTTCCGAGTTCATAGCCTATAAGAACACTTAAAAAATCAATCCTTAAAAACGCATGTTGCTCCAAATCTTCGCTGATATCAAAAAAGATTTCGGTGAGATAAGGAACAGACTTACCTGTCGATAAACACCAAGGGTAGCATGTCCAACTTGTGCAGCAAGTTTTCCTGCTCCCATTTTTAAACTCATGTTTGCTACCAGAACCATCTTGTGGGTACGTCCTCCTAATTATGCAGATGTAAAAAGATCTAGGATTTTGCAATGAGATATACATTGTTAGGTCATCCGAGAATTTCGGTACACGTGCTTTGATTCCGCTCACATATATTATTCGACATGCTGATCGAGAATAACATATTCTTATCGCATGATAGTGTCTTATTGTGGGAATGGTAGGCGTTTGGTGGGAGGTCAAAATCATAGCTTAAAATGTTCTCTGGTAAGGTATTAGACATGATAATAACAAAGATCATCCCCATTCTGCATACTAATTTATTGTTGCGATTTTATTTCCACCGCACATCTAGCGCATCTACATATCATGTTAGCATGCGAAGGTGATATGATACTCGTAAACAGCATAATGTCAAATAACATTATAAAAGGAATTTTTGAGCAGAGTCTGACCTTTGATCCCTCATCGTGTAACACCGTATCTTTCTGATAATCTCATGCAAAGTGGATACGATATTTGTGACCAGCATGTCAAATAACCCTTGGGCAAAGTAAAGCTATAGTTTCAAAATTTTAAGTTTGAGATAGTAGGATAGAGTGAAAATTCCTGTTGCTGGGGAGTCACAGAAAAATCATATTCTTTTTTGAAGGTAGCTTTCTTGATGAAGAAAGCATAATACTTAACACATCAACGTCAGTAACACGATATGACATACAACTTTTTTGAACTATTCCCATTAAAACCAGAATCACGAGAGGCGTTTCCATTTCCCATTCACTCCACAGAAAAATTGCGAAGGCAAAATCTTGAAGCATAGTAAATAGGATTCTGAAGCATTTTTATTGAACTAATAAGCCTTTTTCTGCTTGAAGAAACCTCAAGTGAATCAGTGCTATTGACCGCGTTTCTACTGTTCAGAGCTCCTTTCAGTGGTAGGTTTTATCGCCTAACTATTCCAAATTGAAAGCTCCAATTCCATATATTGTAGGTCCATAAAGGTAGAAAACTGGCAAGTCCATAAAAATTTGAGATAATAACAGAGATTCAACAGAAGAACATCTCTTAGAAGGGAAGGATACTTAATGTCTGTTCTGCTACACATTCTTTGAAAGTTGTAAAGGTTTCTTTCCACAACACATAGCTTACGGCGCCATCTATTTCAGAAATACTTCAATTCACTCTAAGCGATATAAACTGATTTGGCTCATTTTATGAGAATATGTCTTACCACAAAAAAATGAGTTTAATTTCGTCCTTTAGATGGTTTTAGAATTAGTGCGTTGAATAGCAGATTACGCACGCTATTTTTGTCGAAAAGAAATTTCTATAACGTCCTTTAAAGAATCGCTTAGCAGATGTAGAAGGCAGATTTGAAATCAGCGTTTCAAGCTGCATTTAGAAGTAAGCCACTTGCTTCAAAAGGCCATGGTCACTGAGTAACCTTCTTTTCTTAGCATATTCTAAAACAAGAAAAACAAAGCCTGGACCTGGAGGGTGTATAAATAGCGTTTTTAATTATTGTTTAGATATTTCAGAGTTTTGACTGGGCACCAGCCAAGATGAAAAGTTCAATTACCCGCTGTTGAAAGAACAATCATGTATC